TTCTTTAGTATGGAGGATATAAACCTGGTTGATCCTGCCAGTTGTCATACGCTTGTCTCAAAGATTAAGCCATGCATGTCTAAGTATAAACACGTTTTGTACTGTGAAACTGCGAATGGTCGTCATCGCCCACTGCGTATGGAGTTGCGAGTATATGGGCTACGTCCCATACGTCATCGCGCTTGCCAGGTTGACGGTAGCGGTGTACGTCAAGCGGAATGCCGTATGAGTCCACAGCGACTGGACTCTCAGGAGGCAGTGCTTCCTCCGATGACTGGCTGGTCGGTGGTTCCGCAGCTTCCTGGCTGGCTTGTTGGACGGATGAATCTTGAGACCAGACGACAATATCAAAGGCCACGCGCTGGGCGTCCTCAGCGACAGTCGCCTCCGGAAGATTCTTCGCTTTCTATTCGACAACGCATGCGGTGCAGCAGAAGCTGTAACTAAAGTATTAGTATTTGAAAATAGTATTTCAGTGTTTGCCGATTGCGTTCCACACTGCGATGTTGCCGGGATCAAACAGATCGTTTGAGCAGAGGTGATGACCGGGCCGGTAACAGATCGAGCACAGATCCATTACCGTAATTCAAAGTTGATGCAGTCGGTGAAAGAGCATTTTGTTGGTGCTGACAAAGGCAAAACGGCGTCGTGTGAGCTGGAGATGCGTTCTGAAAGTCGCAAAGGAGTTTGCAGAATGACGGAAGCACGCCTAAATAAAATAACGTAGGTAAGCGCACGAGGACCTCCAACAGCAGCTCGTAGAAGCAGTCGAATAGGAGCAACCGTTGATCTAAGCAGCAATGTAACAATGCTTGAGGGCCCTTGTGCCACCCCCAACAAGCAACAGGGGTCGCAGTCACGTGCCGAAAACGACGGAAATCCACAGGATAGACATACTGATTAGTGAGCAAGCTGCCTTCTATTTCGCTTGCAGTACCTCGCGGTGGTCAAAATGGATATGCTTCTAGATATCACCAGTACTTTATTAGTACTATCTGAGCTTCAAGCCCAGTTACTGGTTACTGTAGTAATAGTAGAAATCGAACTCACCAAATTACTAGCTACTATAGTAATAATAGTAGTACTACCGTACTGTTTTCTACTGGCGACCGAAACCCCTGAGTACAGTCCGCGTCAAAACTGTATACGCACTTGACAAATGAAGATTTCTCTTCAGGTAGTGCGAGTTTGATTTAACTCTAAGTGTCACAATACGTGGATGACTATTTAAAATTGACCCTGAAAGCTTAGCCTGCCTGACAAAAGGATTTTTTTCACAATCGAAAATATAACGGTAAGTGCTCGCTTCAAAACTATATACGCATAATTTTAGATTCATCTAGTAGTGTGTTGTGGCTCCATTTAAAGCAATTGCCATGTGCAAACGTTTAGGTACGCTTTTTATCAACTTCTTGATGTAGTCTGGTTCAATGCGAGCCCACTCCGTCTTGATGCAGGCCTTCAATTCAGCCCGGGTGTCAAATTGACGACCATTTGCGTACACTCGGCTGGCCAAGTGTCCCCACACGTTCTCGATGATGTTGAAGTCGGGGCTCTTGGCAGGCCACACCATTGTCGAGACGTTCTTAGCTTGAAGGAATGCCTTGGTGAGCCTGGCCGCATGAATTGATGCATTATCCTGCTGGAAAATAGGCTCAGTATCGCCCATTTTTAGCCGAAGTTTGTCCAGGTAAGGAAGCAAATTTTCTCGCAGTGTCGCCGTGTATTTAGCAGCATCCTGCCTTCCCTCGAGGAAAGCCACGTCAGTGTTTCCATACATCGACACTCCAGCCCAGATCATTACGGTTCCTCCACCGTTGACTCGCTTCGACATGAGTTCGGCGCCACCCTGACGTCATGCCAGTAACAACGGTAGCCATCAGGTCCGTCCACATTGAATTTCTTTTCGTCAGTAAATACGACACGTCTCCAATACTTGCTAATACCCGCAAATTGTTTCGCGAATTTTACCCTAGCTACCTTGTGATAAGGCTTTAGCGCTGGAGCAGGTTTTCTCTTTGAGAAGATGGCGTAGGGACTTCTCCGTAGCACACGAAGGACCGTAGATACACTAGGGCGGACGGGAATTAGGGCCGCGATCTTCTTGGAGGACAGGTTGCGAGAAACAGCTAGGCGAAAAATCTGCCTGGCATCCCGCTCGTGAAGAATCGATGGTCTGCCCACTTTCTGAGGCTGGTGTGTCCGTGTGGACGCCTTCAGGAAGTTCCTAATGGCCCCCTCGGTGCGTTTAATGCGTCGGGCGATCTCACGGTTACTTAGTCCTTCTTCGTTGTAGACTTTAATGCGCTCACGTTCCGTCACAGTCAAAAGCTTCCCTCGCGGCATCAAAATTGGATCTGTTGGCTGATAGTGATGGCCCCAAGAGGGCGTTTTTTGAGCTCTTTCCGTTGGGCTGCGTTATTTGCAAAAATAGCCACTTTAGCTTTAGTTATTTCAAATTTTGTTAAGTGCGTATATAGGTTTGACGCGATCACTTAACGTTATATTTTCGATTGTGAAAAAAAAATGTTAGGCTAGCTAAGCTTTCAGGGTTGCTTCTTAACAGTTATCCACGTAATGTAGCGCTTAGCTCGACATTTAACTCGCACTACCAGAAGAGAAAGCTTCATTTTTCAAGTGCGTATATAGTTTTGACGCGGACTGTACAGCAATAAATGATAATTTTACAATAGCCGATTTGACAAAAATGAAATTAGAATGGCGACCCGCGATTGGCCAGGACAGAAGTCAAAATAAAATGTTATGAAACTTGACAGTTGAGATTGTCGGCACGACATTGTGTTCTGTATGTTGCTCGTATCGACGCACCGACGTCGACAGTGTTGTGTGACGTCGCTGGCTACGGCTCCCTTCTGATATTTGACGAGGCATTTCCATAAATCGACGCGACTGGCATCCGTCGACCCTCCCCGCTAAGACTCAGCAAAATTGGTCTCGTCACGTACTCAGTCTGAGTACGTGGCGAGACCAATTTTACAATACATGCAGGGTACTTCTACTTCCAAGTATTTCAAAGACACTTCGTCAGGCATTTTAAGGCACCCCAGGCGAATGTCGCCGAATTTGATACCTTTGCCGTATAAAGTGCATGCGAACTAAGCGATATGAGTAGGACAAAGCTTCAGGCTGCTTTGTGAATCAAACACTGGTCGCGTGTGATTCACAGAACGATGGCGATCGAAGTGATGGGGGCCGACGTCATCAGGCTGAAGCGCGGAGTGCAGCTCTCATCCGTTGTCGTACCTGTCTGTAGATCTGGCGTCGGCGTCATGAATCACAATGAGAATCGCACCGTGCAGATAGACCACCACGCCGCCGCATCGGTGATTTCTCTTTTGACAACCAAATCGACAGCGCGCTAGCCAAGCACCCCCAGAACGCGTCCTTGGCTCTAAGCGTAGATTTACTCTGCCAGTGCACCCCGTAATGACTCAAACGCGCCGCTATGTACTCGTTCGGCAGCGAATTGGTTGCTATAATACGCAACGTCATCGGAATCCGATCACCGCTTCCAATTTGGAAGTTCCAAATCTGGAATTGTCCCACGGCTGTGCTTCAGTAACGCTCGGCGGGCAGTCAGCGCTTCGACGAGCGCCACTCTGACGGCTCTGTTACTTTGGCATCGAAGCTAATGAGACTGCAATGGGTTTCACCATTGCAGCTACAATAGGTAGTCATGGCGGCAAATGCTTGGCGTAGGGTCTTGTCGCCATTCCACTTGCCTTGCCTAACAAGCGCGCTTTCGGTTGAAGGCACGATACAGCCGCTGCATTGAGACCAGCCGATGAGCGATACAAAAGTCGATATAAAAAACTACCAGTGACGTCGACGCCAGCGGAGACCAACGCCGAAGCGCGTCATTTGCTCCGCCTGGCTCTGCACCTATACTTTCTTCCAGTAAGGATGCGCCACATCGGTTGCGCGTCAGCAGATCGCGAAAAACTCGAGTTCTGCCTGGAAGAATGTCTGCAACATCACCAAGGACAGGTGGCTTCATAGTCGGTGCGAGTGGAAATCGACAGGCCCAGACGCGTTGGCGGCAGTGAATCAGCCCTCCCCACTGGAGTATTTCCCTTTCGCAGCTCACTCGCCCGCAAGAAACAAAGGAAGAAGAAGGCACAAAGGGCTCCAGACGCAGCAACACGGACGCCACCTTTCTCCAATCTTCTAGACGAAAGCAATCATCACTATGAGCGAGGTTACGGAAAGCCACACAACCACAACGACCACGACGGCGGGTGAGCAGACGGAGACGGTCGTGACAACCACGACTACCACCACAACCACCACTACGACTGAGGAGATGACGTCCGCGTTGGCAGACGCAATGGACAAGTTCTCGTTCATCCCGGAGTTCGGCGGCCAGGGTATCTCCTACTGGACCGAGCTGCAGCGGCTCTACGCCGCGTCCGAGACCAGCAGCGCGCGTGCGTTCATCGATACCGCGGCGCAGGCGCTGCTGGACGAGTCCAGCTCGGACGAGGCCAAGGTCTCCGTCGCCTTCGAGGCGGTCATTGACGTGCACAGCTGGTTACAGAGCCTGGAGGTCGGCGATGCACCTGCAGGCCTGGCGCTGGACCGTGTCTTCTTCAGTATGCCGCTGCTTACTCTGACCCAATGTGCAAACTACCTTAACTTCCTCGAGACCGCGGGCGTGAGCCATGAGACAGTGGCGAAGAACTCCGCCACCGCCGTGGGCCACAGCCAGGGCGTGGTGAGCGCCGTCATCTTCTCGGCGGCTAAAACGGCTCAAGAGTTCGTCGAGATCGGCGTCTCCGTGCTGCGCTACATGTTCTGGCAGGGACTGCGCGCGCAGGAGGCGTACCAGCACCTGCTGACGCAGTACAAGCAGGATGGCAAGAACATTGAGGGTGCCGGCCCGATGCTGGCCGTGCGAGGGCTCAAGAAGGAGCACGTTCTCAAGTCTATCGAGGTGGCCAAGCGCCGTACCAAGTCGCCCGACCTGCACCTCTCTCTTATCAATGCGTCCGACATGATGAACGTGACGGGCTTCCCCGCGACGCTGACGCTGCTGAAGCAGGCGCTCGAGGGCCTGTTTGCTAAGCCGGACGCCGACCAGACACGTATCCCGCACTCGCAGCGGAAACCAACGGGTTCGCTGTCGTTCCTGCCGCTCTCGGCTCCCTTCCACACACCATTGCTGTCCGAGGCCAAGCCGAAGTTGGTGCAGGACGTGCAACGCGTCAAGTGCGCGATCAAGGGCGGTCAACTGCAGGTGCCCGTGTACGCGACCAATGCAGAGGCCACCAACCTGCAGACGGTGGACGACGTCATCGATGAACTTATTAACATGCAGCTACTGGAGCTGGTGGACTGGACGGCGACGTGGGCGAAGATCGCTGAACACCACTCAAACGCGACGCACATTCTGGAGTTTGGCCCCGATCTTGGCGTCGCCAAGCTGAGTGACAAGTTCGCTGAAGGTCTGGGCATTGAGTTGGTCATCGCGACTGCCAAGCACCCCGTTATGAGCTCCTCGACGGCGTCCGCTCCTCTTGTTGGCCTGCAGCAGTTCATCGATGCTACGTCGACGTTCACTTCGGTTGAGGCGACGTGGGAGAAGAAGTTCGGCCCGCAGGTGACTGAGTCGGGCAAGCTAGTCAACAGATTCACGCGCGCACTGAACAAGCCACCAGTTATGGTGGCCGGTATGACGCCGACTACCAGTTTGGAGGGCATCGACCTCGTTGCAGCCATCCAGAACGCTGGTTTCCACGGTGAATTGGCCGCGGGTGGTCTGTCGCGCCCCAACATCTTCGAAGATGCCGTGAACGAGCTCGTGTCCAAGATCAAGCCCGGTCTCGGCATTGCGATCAACATGTTGTACCTGAACGCGAAGCAGTGGGGCTTCCAGTTCCCGATGGTGCTGCGAATGCGTCGCAGTGGTGTGCCTATCGAAAGCATCACTATCGGCGCTGGTATCCCGACGAAGGAGCGAGCGCTTGAGATGATGTCGCAGCTGGAGGATGTGGGCATCAAGGTGGTGTGCTTCAAGCCTGGTTCGGTGGACGGCATTCACGCTGTGCTGGAGATCGCAGCGGCCATGCCGAGTATGACTGTGATGCTGCAGTGGACTGGCGGTCGTGCTGGTGGTCACCACAGCTTCGAGGACTTTCACCAGCCGATGGAGGAGACGTACGCCGCCATCCGTCGCGTGTCGAACGTGCTGCTGGTTGTCGGTTCCGGTTTCGGGAACTGGGAGGACTCGAAGCAGTACCTCACGGGCGAATGGAGCTTGTCTCGTGGCCACCTGTTCAAGATGCCTGTCGACGGTATTCTGATGGGCTCTCGCGTGATGGTTGCCAAGGAAGCTGCGACTGCGCCAGAGGTGAAGAAGCTGCTGGTGGACACGCCTGGTATCGAGTCGGAGCTGGAGTGGGAAACGAGCTACACGGGTGTCATTGGCGGCGTGATCACAGTCACATCGGAGCTGGGCGAGCCCATTCACGTCGTGGCGAACCGCTGCACTCTGCTGTGGAAGGAGTTCGACGACAAGTACTTCTCGATCCCGCGCGACCAGGTTGAGCTGGCCCTTCGTCTCAACAAGAA